AGCTTAGCAGCTAAGCTTACCTTTCCTGAAACTAAAAGAAAGGTAAAAGAAATTGAAAATAAGATAACTAAAGAAATTTGTCATACCCTTCCTACTGCTTTTTGGAATAGGAAAGACCACGTTGTGACTCTTCCCAACTAAGTCTAAACCAACCCAAATGAATAAAGAATATTTGGAGCTATGTAAAAAAGAAATCGACTCTTTATTGGAAAAGTCTTTAATTAGGAAAAGTCATTCCCCTTGGAGCTATGCAGCCTTTTGTGTTAATAATGCAACCGAAAAGGAAAAAGGCATTTCTAGACTTGTTATCAATTATAAACCTTTAAATAAGGTTTTGCAATCGATAAGGTATCCAATTCCTAATAAAAAGGATTTATTATCTCGATTATATAATGTTAAGATTTTCTCTAAGTTTGACTTAAAGTCAAGTTATTGGCAAATCCAAATTGATGAGGCAAACAGGTATAAAATTGTTTTCACTGTTCTTTTTGGACATTATGAGTGGAATGTTATACCGTTTAGACTTAAAAATGCTCCCTCTGAATTTCAAAATATAATGAATGATATTTTTTATCCTTATTATGCATTTTTCATCATTTATAATGACGATATACTCATCTTTTCTGATTCTATTGATCATCATTTCAAACATCTGAATAAATTCATTTACATTGTTAAAACCAATGGTCTTGTGTTCTCTGCTATTAAAATGAAACTCTTCCAATTAAAGGTCTAATTTTTAGGTCATTATATTGAACAAGGGAATATAGTCCCAATTGAAAGGAGTATTGAATTTTCATCCAAATTTTTGGATGAAATTAAAGAAAAAAGGCAATTACAAAGATTTTTGGGAAGTTTGAATTATTTAACTGACTTTTATCAAAATCTTGCTAAAGATACTGCTATTTTATATTCTCGACTTCAGAAAAATCCATCTCCTTGGACAGATGATCATACAAAAGTAGTAAAAAAGATAAAGCTTAAAGCTAAATATTTACCATGTCTTTCTTTGATAAATCCAACATGGATTAAAATTGTTGAAACTGATGCCTCAGATAAAAGATATGGAGGTATTCTTAAACAAAGAGATCCTAATTCCACTAAAGAATTACTTGTTAGATTTACTTCAGGAAAATGGGGATCTACTCAACTAAATTATTCAACTATTAAAAAAGAAATTTTATCCATTGTTAAATGTGTTAGCAAATTTCAAGATGATTTACTAAACCAAGAATTTCTACTAAAAATTGATTGTAGCTCTGCTAAAAATATACTTGAACAGGATGTTAAGAATATTGCATCTAAACAAATTTTTGCAAGATGACAGGCTATCTTATCTGTTTTTGATTTTAAAATTGAATATGTTAAAGGGGAATTAAATTTTTTTCTCGATTTTCTAACTCAGAAATTTTTGCAGGGTTCTCATGAATAGAGGCCAGAGTAGCACTCGTGGCAGAGGCCGCGGCAGAGGAAGACCTGGTGGTAGAGCCCAGGTCAATGCTTATTATTCCCCTTTAACTGAATCCAGTAAGCTTAAAGTTGTTAATAATCAACTTCTTAAAGAAGGCCTTTCACATAAAAGTGAATCTTCATCACATAAAAGTGATTCGTCTTCACATAAAAATGACGATAAAGATAATGACAGTTATATTGTCGTCCGATCTAAAAAATCTATTAAAGAGACTCTTATAGCTAAGCCCAAGTTAAACTATAGAGAGTTATACACTCTGTCTACTTATAGCAGTATAATGACTTTTAACTATGAATATGAAAATTGGCTAACTAATCCATATTATATTGCTGGAAGGTTTATGACCTTGGATAATGCCTTTTTATACTCTGAAAATAAAGACAGAGAATATTATAAAAATATTTTAATTAAAACTGACTCTGTTAAATTTCAAAGATTCTATAATTGTAATAAAGACTATAAAGATCCTCAATATAGTAAAGCCCTCATATTAATGGTAATTCCTGCTAAAGAATGGGGTCTTAATCTCACTATTCCCAGAACACTAAGAAAAACTCCACATACAGAGTATAACTATTTTGATTATATTGATGCATGGAATAATACTTTTTTATATGAAGCTACCAATTTAAAGCATACATGGTTCTTCCAATTCATTGAAACTTGTACAAAAATTCTGAACTGATTTTATGATTGGTGGAAAATTCATGGTGCTATTGACAGGATATACCCTGAAAAACTAAAGAAATTATTTGACTTGTATAAAGACAAAAGTCCGTCCTTAAAGGACAATGATATAGCAACTAAGCCAATTATAAATTTCTCGCTTGAATTCTTTATTCCATGGATTTAGGCATGGACTTTGGCTTGTGATTATAATCATTACGGACACCTTAGGTTAATTAGGGAATATCAAGTTTGTTTCTGAAATAATTATAATACTGACGCTAAATGCCAAACTATTGAAGAATGTCTTAAAGACATAGATAAAGAAGAAGATAAATCTTCAATTAATAAGCTTCATCTTCTACATCGATGGTTCCCTCTACCAGTATAAATACTATAACTAATTTAAATTCTGTGGAAGTTCTTAAAGAATTAATTAAAAAAGAGAATTCTCATTTAAACTCTGAGCAGTTTAAAGCAGCAGTTATGGAGGAATTCCGTCTTCAGATCATGTCTACCTTTGGCATGAGCAAAACAGAGAAGATGGATCTTATCAACACTCCTACAGTTGCCATAAAAGACAAAGGGAAAGATAAAGTTGAGTAAAAAAATAGGAAATCTCTCACTCCTATTAATTCTGATGACGACTTTATGGATTCGCAAGGATATACCCCTCTTAAAGGTGACATTGAAATTAATGAAGATTTGCTAAATGTTGATATGAAAATAAATCTCCATAATGACAAAGATAATGTACTGTTTACTTTATTTTTCAAGAACTGATCAGATAAAACTGATTTCTCGGATAAAGCCAATCCGGAAGAAGTGACGCACGTCCTGACGTCACTACAAAGACGTGACGTAAGCCCTTACGTCACTATATGTACTGTGAATAGTGTACATCATAAAGTGTACAGTAATTATGACGCATGCAATAACGTCATTGTAAATTATTAAAATTAAGAATAATATAAAGTTGTGAATAGTATTTTTTATTTTGAAATCCGAATTTCATGTCCGGCTCTATAAATAGAGGTGCAGGCCCGACTTGTGGAGCACCGCCCCCAGACCATTCCTACACCTCCTTTCTATCTAACCCACTTCTCTACCAACTTTCTTGATCATCTCCTTCCTTCTTTCCCTCTTGCACCCTCGGTGAATCCTTTTCTTGTATAAACCCTCCTGCTTCCACTTCTTAGTCTACTACTGTAAGTAAACTCTACTCTGTAAATACACTTTGGCAGTGCTCCACAACTTTTAATTTTATCAAATTAACATCGAATTGACCTTCAATTTTATCAAATCAAAATTCAACATATATTTCATCAATTTAACACTAAATTAACATTTAAGTTCACCTACTAATATTCAATTTCATCAATTTTACATCCAATTTTTTTAGATTAGCACCAATTTTATTAATTTAATAAATAATTAAAATTTTAACTTTGTCAAATTAATACCAAATTGATATTCAAGTTGTGAAATTTGAATTTTGGCACATGGTAGTGAAAGCTAATTTTTTCCTAGCTTACAAATTGATTAAACAAGTTTGTGTGTGTATATGTATCTATGTGTATAAGTGTGTGTGTGTGTGCACGCGCATGTGAATATGAAAAAGATAATTTTGATGGACACGAGGGTTGTCTGATTTTAGAATTAGTTCTATTTAGTAAAAGAAAAAAAATGTTTGGGTAAAAGACTTATATATAGTTTTTTTTTTGAGAATGACTTATATATAGTTGAAGGTTAGAATTGTAATTTATGAACAAATATTGACCGACATCATCACTTTTTTTGTGTCAGTAACATCTATGTCGATAAGCATAGTCTGTGAAATTGACATATAAATTCGAGTGATAATGATATTTCAAAAATTATAGAAAATATCCTTGTAATTAAGCCTTTTTTAAAGGGTGTTAATAAAATTTACCCTTTCTTTCCTTCTAAGTAGTTGTGCTTTCTCTCTCCCTTTTGTAGTTGTAATGGGGATAGTTGGTAGAGCATCGTTGTTGTTTGTTGTCAATAGCAATTGTTTGAAGGTTGGTGGTGAAAAATGAAGCACGTAACACAAAACTATAAGAGATGTTGATCTCAATTTTTTAATACAGCTTTAAGAAATGAGTAATGCTACACTGACTAAAATTTGGGACTAAATTTAAAATTCAAATGACATGACAGTCGATTATTTGAAGTTTTTATTGGGACCCAAATGACATGACACCAATCAAAGAATCTCAAGTCAACTGTCATGTCATTTGAGCTTTAAAATTGGTCCCAAATTTTGATCAGTCTAGCATTATTGTTAAAAAATAACAAAAACTAGTCCATTATTAGAACTTCCTTATTTTCAATGCATTTTCTTTTCTTTTTCTTCTTCTCTAATAAATGCTACTCGTAAATATGTCGCGCATATTCATATTTCATATAGCATGCAATTGATATAATCGAATGTCTGCGATCTTCCATCTTACATGTTCCCAACAATTTTGTTAATAAGTCTCTCAAAGTAGCTCAAAAACGAGAAGAAACTAATATCGAAGCAAATTTGAATAAATCATTCATCAAACAAAGGAATTGAAAATGGGGAATTTTACTTTTTTCTAAAGTTTGTTAATCGAATTTTACTTGTCAAACACATTATTCTCATTAAATTAGAAGTGAATCTCAATATTGAATGAAATATGAGGTACATCTTATAAATATAACAAATTTGTTCAATGACATCAGTCCATACGTTTAGATCCAAAAAAGCTTATCACAAGAAAATAACTTTGGTAGCAAAACTAGAACTAAAGAAAATAAATATGTAATCAGATCAGAGAGAAAATTAATCGAAGTGTTATTTCAAACACATTTGACTGTTGAATTAAAAAAAAAAATTTACGGAGAACAATCATTTATAAATGATATTATTGACATAATAGGATATATAGAAAGAAATGAAAAACAGAAGTTAATAATGGAGGACATAGACATTGTATTCCACAACAGTATACCCAGTTTTCATATCAAAAAAGAAAGTCTTTGCCTGAACATATCCACGAGAAAACCGGAAAACTCCAATCCCTCCGACGATCGGCATTTCTCTCACAGGAGAAAACACCGGATTCCTCCCCAATATGGTCAAAGTACTCCCATTATACACCCCTTCGATAAATTCAAAGTTTAAAACCATCAACAACGACGATTCATTCAACGCCGCCAGCGCGTAGATTCCCTGCGCTCTTCCGACGAGTTTCGAGCTCAAGTTTGGGCCTTCCGTCAAGGCGTTATCGAGCACGACCACGGCGCCGAATCCAGTGGCGGATGTGTTTGTAATCGTGGCCTGGGCGACACGGTAGGCGGTGGCGTTTGGGCCGGTGACTACGTCATGGAAGTAGAAGTGAAGGTGGGCTAGTTTTTCTTCTTTGAGATCGAGTGATTCTTTGGACAAGTTTCTGGAGAAAGTGTGAGAGTTTCCGAGAAGGAGGAGAGAGAAAAAGAACATGATGAAGATAATGGAACTCATTTTGTACAAGGTTTTGGCCATGGTGGTGGGGTTCTGATTCTTCTGATGGTATTGTACACAGAGAGAGAGAGAGAGAGAGAGAGAGAGAGAGAGGACTTCATGGTGTTTATATAAGGATAAAAGATGTATTAGGTGTGTTAGTTGGCCGGTGGCGTGCAGTGTTGTAAACCGTTAACACATCACAAAATTAAATCCTTTTTAAATCACTCTTCCGTAAATGAATAGATCAAATATTATATAATTAATAAATAAAACATGTAGGAATGAAATTAATCGATTTTTCAAATACAAATTAGTAAATGAATCTTATATATGACTAAAATATTTTTTAATACCAACTTACGTTGCGCGCATGATTGACCGACTTAGTTTGAGGTGTCTATAGGTCGGATTATTCACATGTTCTGTTATCTGATCTGAAATTTAATAGGTTCGATAGTTGACCAATCAGAGCTCAATATCCTTAAAAAGAGAACTTGGAATTGTCCCTAAACCCATTACTCGTCTTAAAGTCCAGCCCAAGAGCCCACCCACCAAATCGAACCCATCCACCCTTATTTTGAAAAAAAATTGTATTTTTAAACTATTAAATTTAAAATTTTGAAATAAGTTTTTCAATGTCAGAATTTGAAGTTTTAAAAATTTAGATACTATAAATAATGCATTATTTTATTTTTCATGTATTAAACATATAAGTTTTAAAGGGTCAAGGAATGCAAATAATATATAAGTAAGTAGATGTCAACCTAGTTATGATGTATTCATTCTATTAGATGTAATTCATCTTCTAATTAAAAATAAAATTATTCATTATTTTATTTTTATCCATTTTGACTCTATTTTTTATTCAAAAATATAATTTATATAAATATTAAATTACAAAAAATATTTATTATTTTTAAATAAAGTTGTATATAAAAAAATTCGTGAGTAAGACCAGTCCAGCAAGCCCGCCCAATAAGCCCGCCCAATAAGCTAATGGGTTAGGTTGCAAGTAACCAACCCTTACCCGAAGCCCGATTTGGCCCGCCCGATAACTCAATTAGGTAAAAGCTTGGATCTACGCTACCTAACTCGAGTCGAAAAAAATTTAGGCCCGGTCCGACCCATAGACTTGGTGGTTTTTTAGGGGGTTGGGGGGAGGGGGACTTGCCCATGACTTTTTGGATTCCCTGTATATATTGATCATATATTTATAATCAATGGAAAAATAATTTGTTCAATTTAATGATTTGCCCCACTGATTTTTCAAAAATTTGTACATTGGTTCCAGCTTTTCTTTTTAATTTTTATTAAGTTTAGTGTCCCACTAGTTCCTTAAAATAAATGTATTATTTATAGAATTAGTAAAGCAAATATCAAATGTACTGATTGGTAAATATTAATTAAAGATTTATATCGTTACCCTTGATCATTTTTTTTTCTTTGTAATGCTGATAGTATGAAACCTAATAAAACATGATTGTTTGTACTAGTCAGTGAACACGTTAGCATATGAATAACCCAAGGTGTACACAACTGACTAACCTAAAATGGCATCGACTTTAATCACGTAGTGACCAAGGCATGGTGCTTTTCTATATTTATTTATTTTTTCCTTCTATATCATATGAAGCCATACATAGATTGATTTGTTCTATATCTTTGCATAGGTGTCGAAGGCATGGTATTTCTTATAATAATAATAAAAGAAAAGAAAATTTCAATCACACCCTCTTTACTTTGTTATATAATCAAAGAGCCTCATTTTATTATTCAAAACATTACTGACACTCCTTCTAGTTTATATTTAAACATTACTGACACCCTTGCCATTAAACTATCATTTCTACCAACAAAAAAATTATCCAAAATACTAAAATTACTCCTACATATACCCCAAAGAATATTTCTACATAAAATTTGATTAAAATTTGAGTCGATTAAAATTTATTTTTTTACATATTAGATTTTAGCTGATTAAAATTTATTTTTTTACATATTTAAATTTAAGTTAATTAAAATTCGATTCGACCTAATTAAATTTTATTTTTTTTACGTATTAAAATTCGAATCTATAAAAGTTTGTTTTTTACATATTAAAATTCGAGCATATTGGAGCTCTACTTGAGTTGTTAGCACCGATTAAAATTTACTTCAAGTCAATTAAAATTTATATTTTTTATTAAAATTTTTGTCAATTAAAATTCGATTCAAGTTGATTAAAGTTTATTTTTTTAGTATTAAAATTTGAGTCGATTAAAAATTATATTTTTTTATGTATAAAAATTCAGACCGATTAAAATTCAATACAAGTTGACTGGAATTTGATTTTAATCAGCTCGAATAAAATTTTAATCGGCTTAAATTTTATACGTAAAAAAAAAAAATTAATTAACTCGAATCGAGTTTTAATACGTAAAAAAATTAAAAAAAAAATAGAAAGGGTCTCATTGAAAATATGTCTATAAAGAGAGGATGTTGATAAAATTTTTCTTAAAATATATTATGGACAATTTAGTAAAATTACTTTCTAGTTAATACTTTTAATCTAATAAGGGGTGTTAGTCAAGATTTTAAAAATAAAAAGGACGTCCTTAAAGATATGGTGAACTAAAACGAGTGTAATTGAAATTTTTCCTAAAATAAAAAACAGAAACAGCAGTGTTAGTTTGATCAAATATTTAAAACTGAAATTATGGTTTAAATAATATGAAAACTCGTCAACTCTAACAAATAGGGGATCCAACAATATCTGATTTATTATTTGAATTTTGTTATATCATTTAGATTTTAGATTTGATATAAAATTTGATCAGTTGATAAAAATCTTACCTTGTGTTTTATAAGAAATTGTACGTGGCAAGCCTACATTTAATTAGGCTTGGCTACGCCTAAATCAGCTACAAGACGGGTCAAATCCATGAATTGGATTTGACCCAGTCCAGAGTTCAAGGAGTCCAGAATGATTAGAGCACGTGAGGAGCAATTATCGGGATACTCATTTCCGAAGATTATGACAACCTTTAATTGTACTTACCTTTTGTAACTCCCCGAAGATCTAGTACCTTCACCCTCACGTCCATGTCTCAACTAAGGTTCTGTGGCTATAAATTGTAAGCTCTCTCGACATAAGAGGAACCTCTCTACACACTACATACATAACTTTTCTCTCTTCTAACTATTGTATCTCTCGGAGCTAACCATTGCTCTCTCTCTCGTTCACCTTAGTTAATCAATAAAAGGTCATTCGGCCACCATTATCGTTTTCTGGAGTAAAGTAGGTCACTCGAACCAAATTACTATGGGTGTGTTTGACAAATTATTGGTGGATTGGATTGGTTTGGATTTAAATCTTAAACCAATCCAGTGAAATCCCAATTAGCCGGATATGGAGAGGGGGATAAAAGGAAATTGTGTTATCCAATCCCTGCTTTGGATAGTGCATTATGAAGGGGTTGAGATATGGACAAAGTATAATTTTTAATTAAATATGTAATACCTTTGACATTGATTGACCATTTTAACCTTGAATCTTATCCAATCCTATCTCATTTTTGGCTTGACAATTGTTGGTTACTACTTTTGAAATAATTATTTTTTTAGTATTTTATNGGATTTTAGATTTGATATAAAATTTGATCAGTTGATAAAAATCTTACCTTGTGTTTTATAAGAAATTGTATGTGGCAAGCCTACATTTAATTAGGCTTGGCTATGTCTAAATCAGCTACAAGACGGGTCAAATCCATGAATTGAATTTGACCCAGTCCAGAGTTCAAGGAGTCCAGAATGATTAGAGCACGTGAAGAGTAATTATCGGGATACTCACTCCCGAAGATTATGACAACCTTTAATTGTACTTACCTTTTGTAGCTCCCCGAAGATCTAGTACCTTCACCCTCACGTCCATGTCTCAACTAAGGTTCTGTGGCTATAAATTGTAAACTCTCTCGACATAAGAGGAACCTCTCTACACACCACATACATGACTTTTCTCTCTCCTAGCTATTGTATCTCTCGGAGCTAACCATTGCTCTCTCTCTCTCGTTCACCTTAGTTAATCAATAAAAGGTCATTCGGCCACCATTATCGTTTTCTGGAGTAAAATAGGTCACTCGAACCAAATCACTATGGGTGTGTTTGACAAATTATTGGTGGATTGGACTGGCTTGGATTTAAATCTTAAACCAATCCAGTGAAATCCCAATTAGCCGGATATGGAGGGGGGGATAAAAGGAAATTGTGTTATCCAATCCCTGCTTTGGATAGTGCATTATGAAGGGGTTGAGATATGGACAAAGTACAATTTTTTATTAAATATGTAATACCTTTGACATTGATTGACCATTTTAACCTTGAATCTTATCCAATCCTATCTCATTTTTGGCTTGACAATTGTTGGTTACTACTTTTGAAATAATTATTTTTTTAGTATTTTATCATTGTTGATTACCAATTTAAAAATGTGAGAAATATAATAATGCTTACATATTCACTAAATACATGTTATTACAAGTTGATTTTATAAAACAATTTTATAAGTCGCTCACAAATTTATTTCATCCGTCAAAGATTTTAAACAATTTAGTACAAATAATACAAGAATATACGAAAAACTACAGCACAACCCAAATTAACATGAACTATAGCAGAAATTAACAATTTTCTTTTTGTAAAAATTAAAAGATGATAAAATTAATTCCAAGCACAAGGAAAAATACAAGAAAAGCCGTTATGGGAAAAACTATATACAAACCTCATTCAAAACATGTAAAAAAGAACAAAACATGTGTTAATAAAAAAAATTATATACAACATTCGCATACAATCAAATAGTGTGATCCTTTATCATAAAAAATTGAGCACTTTTTTTAGTCTACCAAGTAGCAGGATTTTTTTTTAAAATGTTTTCATCAACTATCACAAGACTCTCCATATATCTCCCTATCTCCACATATCTTGTATGACAATGACATGCACAAAAATTAAAAAAATACAAAAATACAATAAGGAAGAAAAAAGATAGAACACAATGACAAGCAAAGTTCGAGTGAATTCATGGGCAAGAGAGCAATAGCAAAGAACAAACACATTAC